ATCGCGCTGTGAGAAATGTCTGGAAACGCCCAGAGCAGAAAATAGACGAGCTCTCGGCAGCCTTCCTCAAGCTGAAGGATTCGTTTGATGGTCGTGTAAAGATGGAATCGTTTTTTGTATCTACGAAAATTCTTGACAGCGTTGAACGCTTGGGTGCGTTCCTATTTTCGGGCTTGTACGAAATAGATTAATGACACTTTACAGACCAATCGGACACGCTCAAAAAGCTCAATCCGGCCGATATGAATGCCAGCTTGCGTGGACTATGTTTGCCGGGCACGCGCCGCAAATTATTGGATGATGTCACCGAATGGGTCACCGTCCCGTCCGAATCTGGCAACGTTCTCTGGCTGTCTGGTGTTGCAGGCTCTGGGAAGAGTACTGTATCGACAACTGTCTCCGAGTCTTTTTGGCCGGTAGATCGACTCGGGGCTTTCCTGTTCTTCGACAGAAACGACAGTGCACGCAGTGCCCCGGAGGCTGTAATTCGCACAATGGTGTACAAGCTGGCGCTTTTCAACTCACATATTGCATCGTCAGTGGCCGAAGTGATTCGTCGCAATCCCGCTGTTGTGGACGCACCGATTCGCACACAATTCAGGTCGCTATTGCTGGATCCACTCACAGCAGCTGAGCAGTATATGCAGGGACCGGTTCTCATCATTCTCGATGCACTCGACGAATGCGGGGATCCTCGCTCCCGAGCTATGTTGCTCTCTTTGCTCGCAACCGACCTTCACAAACTGCCCCGCCTTTTTCGCATCCTCATTACGAGTCGGCGTGATCCAGACATCACCAATCAATTCAGGTCTCGTTTCCTGGAAATGGAAATGGATATGAATGCAACTTCGCTGAACGATGTGGAGTTGTTCTTTCGCCACGAGATAGCACAGATTCGACGAAACCACAGGCTAGGTCCGATATGGCCCGAGGAGCGAGACATTCGAGCCCTCGTCAAGCTTTCTGGTGGCCTTTTCATCTGGGCATCGACGGCTACTATATTCATGGACTCGCTTCGTCCCGATCGTAGACTCAAGATCTTGCTCGCTCAGGACTCTTCTGAAGGGTTCAATCTCGATGATCTCTATGCCGTAGCCCTCAGGAATTCTGGCCCATGGGATGCAGACAAAGAGTTTGCACAAGAAGCCCGTGCGGTGTTGGCATGCGTGGTCCTCGGACGAGTGCCAATGACTGACAAAACAATTGACATGCTCTTGTACTCAGGGAAGGAGACCTCTGGGGATGTCTTGGATTATCTGGGATGTGTAATTCAGTGGCGTCGTGGCAAGGAAGCTCGAGTACTGCATGCGTCTTTCGCCGACTATCTCACAGATCCCAATCGTTCAGGTGGGCGACCGTGGTTGATTGACCCGAAGACCGACCATCATCCTCTTGCCCTGGGTTGCCTGCGAATCCTTGACACTGAGCTCCGATTTAACATCTGCGACCTCAAGGATTCTCATCTCTGTAATGCAGACGTGGTGGGAATATCTGACCGAGTAGCATCAGCGATCACTCCTCAACTCGCCTACTCGAGTTGTTTTTGGTTCAACCATGTTCAAGCGATCCCATTCGACGAGACCATACTCGAAGCCATCAACCGACTTTTGCATCGTAAATTCCTGTATTGGCTGGAAGCCCTCAGCCTTTTGGAACAGATGGCAATGGCAACGGTGGGACTACAAGCTGCGGCACATTATGCCAAGGTAATTGCATGGTTGCCTCGGTCTGATCTCACTCTCTGAACAAATTGTATAGGATAGGCGGGATGATGGCTTCAAAGACTTTTTGGCTGATGCTATCAAGTTTGTGGTAGCGTTCGCGCCTGCCATCGCGCAAAGCGCACCACATATTTATCTGTCAGCTCTACCATTTGCACCTCGGAGCTCGAGAATGGTGAACAGCTTCGGGACATACTTTCCCCGCACCCCGATCCTCCAGAGTTCGGTCGCAGACAAGTGGCCGAGCATCCAAAAGATATTACAACATGACAAATCGGTCAACTCCGTCGATTTCTCCCCCGACGGTACACGAATCGCATCTGGGTTGGATAATGGTACGGTGTGTGTGTGGGATGCCCACATGGGCATGCTTGTCGTTGGACCGCTTCTGGGACACACCGAGGCGGTCACTTCCGTCAATTTCTCCCCCCACGGCACACAGATTGCATCTGGGTCAAATGACGGAACAATCTGCGTGTGGGACGCTCACACGGGCACGCTCTTCGCCGGGCCATTTGAAGGTCACACCAGTAGCATCACCTCAGTCCAGTTCTCACCAGATGGCACACGGATCGCGTCTGGCTCATGGGATGAGACGGTGCGCATGTGGAACATTAACACCGGCATCCTCATCGTTGGGCCATTTGAAGGCCACACTGATGTAGTCAACTCAGTGCATTTCTCATCAGATGGCTCGCGAATTGTGTCTAGCTCGGACGACAACACAGTTCGCGTATGGGATGCCCACACTGGCACGCTCGTCGCTGGGCCGTTTGAAGGCCACACTGATGAAGTGTACTCCGTTCATTTCTCACCAGATGGCAGGCGGATCGTGTCTGGGTCAGAGGACAACACGGTGCGCGTTTGGGATTCCCACACGGGCACACTCATTGCTAGGCCGTTTGAAGGTCACACTGATCGGGTCTCTTCAGTCCATTTCTCCCCGGATGGCATGCAGATCGTTTCTGGGTCGTGGGACAATACATTGCGCATATGGGACGCCCGCATGGGCACTCTTGTCGCTGGGCCGTTTGAAGGTCACACCAATGGGATCTCCTCAGTGCATTTCTCACCGGACGGCTCGCAGATCGCGTCTGGGTCGTACGACGCCACAGTGCGTGTCTGGGATGCCCACACCGACATGCTCGCTGCTGGGTTGTTTGAAGGGCATACCAACCGGGTTTTGTCTGTCGGTCTCTCACAGGATGGCGCGCGGATTGCATCTGGGTCATGGGACAAGACAGTGTGCGTGTGGGACGCCCACACCGGCACGCTCGTTGCTGGGCCGTTTAAAGGCCACACTGCTGAGGTCCGCTGCGTTCATTTCTCATCAGATGACTCGCGAATTGTGTCTGGGTCAGACGACAACACGGTTCGCATATGGGACGCTCACACCGGCACACTCATCGCTGGGCCGTTTGAAGGCCATACTAGTCGCGTCTACTCCGTTCATTTCTCATCAGATGGCGAGCGGATCGTATCTGGGTCAGAGGACAATACGGTGCGCGTCTCGGACGCCCACACGGGTATGCTCATCGCTGGACCGTTTGAAGGTCACACCTATGCGGTCAATTCCGCCCATTTTTCACCAGATGGCAGGCGGATCGCATCTGGGTCAGAGGACAGCACGGTGCGCGTCTGGGACGCCCACACGGGCACGCTCATTGCTGGGCCGTTTGAAGGTCACACTGATCGGGTCTCCTCAGTCCATTTCTCACCGAATGGCATGCACATCGTTTCTGGGTCGTGGGACAATACAGTGCGCATATGGGACGCCCACACGGGCACTCTTGCTGCTGGGCCGTTCGAAGGCCACACCAGTAGGGTCTATTCAGTACATTTCTCACCAGATGGCTCGTGTATCGCGTCTGGTGCTGGTGACAATACAGTGCGCGTGTGGGACGTCCATACCGGCGTGCTCCTCGCTGGGCCGTTTGAAGGTCACACTGATGACGTCAACTCCGTTCATTTCTCATCGGACGGCGAGCGGATCGTGTCTGGGTCAGACGACACTACGGTACGAGTCTGGGAGGTAGGAAGACAGCCTATCCTACCTAATCCTCGCGCTTATCTCTTCTCTCCTCAGATAAATTCCTCTGCCAATAATCCCCATGGAGACTACCGTTTGAAAGGCGGATGGGTGCTCAATTCTGCTGGTGATCTAATGTTTTGGGTCCCCCCTTGGCTCCGCGGTGGTTTATACCTCCCACAAAATTCGCTAGTCATCTCCGCTAGAGGGAAGACTAAGCTGGATCTCAGCCAATTTGTGCATGGCACTGAGTGGCAGAAATGCATTGATCCCAAATTCAGGGACATGAAATAAATCAGTGAAGTCAAACCTCCCCCGCTGACAATCACTTTAATGACTCCAGCTCTTTAGGTCCTCGGGAGCAGGCGAATTTGCTGAACCTCAATACTAACATTCACAACCTGAGGGCTCGATCATGACTTTTCCCCTTCAAAAGTACATTTTCCAACCCTCGTACCTTCCACCTTTGAATCTCTTTTCCAAGTCGTTTGTTTTCGATACTTGCACTCACTCCAGATGTAATTTTTGACTTTCAGTTAAAATTTGAAAGCCAAGCGCAATGTTCATGTTTGGATACGGCGTGATGCACCCGTTCCGGAACTGTATTTGGGTGAACGCATGGGGGGGAACAACAAATTCTGCCATTAACTGCGAAGTATATTTAGATCTCCATGGCTGAAAAAGAAAAAAAAAATGAGCCTGTCCTGTCTTCTACCATCCAAATTTCCCGCGGTATGTTGATTGAAACTGAATTGCCTGACCGAATAAAGACAAAATAATACATAGGCCGGCTTCTACTGGACCTTTTTGAGCTTAACTGTAAATCTGGTTAGGATAGAATGAAAAACGAATTCCACACTGGAAGAAAAAGAGAAAGGAATGATTTGTGGATTATTATTCGTGCACAGGTGCCGCAGCGAATCACAAACATCAACTTCGCCATATTTGAGTGCTGACACGGACCATCGCAGGGCTACTGTTACAAGCGGCGCACCTGGTTGGAGATACATGTCTTGAGGTACATCTCTTTCCTCATGACAGAACAAGAGTTGAACAACGTAGGCCCGATTTGAACGAGCGTGATCTGCCGATTTAAATGGCATGGTAACACATTTGAAATATTGAGAGCAGGCGGGGGTATTCGCTACCGGGCCTTCCGAGCTGAACTATGAACCTGGTTAAGATAGAATGCCTATGCAAATATTACAGCTTCTTAGCGCAAGAAAACGACTTGGAAACAGGGACCCTCATGGCCCGGACTCCAGTCGAACGAGCGACTCTTGCAGATTTCAACAAACATCTTCTCAATGAAGAGCAAGTGCGGACCATCCGCTACCGGGCCTTTTATTTAATCTTACGAGCTTGGTCAGGCTAGGCTTTCCAGTCCAGAATCCAATGACAATTCAAAAATCAACGAGTCGATATAAATTCTCACCAACGTTGTCCATTGTTGAGACTGAAAATTATACCGTTGCCTTCCCGAACACAAGCAGCTTATAATTAATTATAACAGTAGTTCGCACTAGTGTTGTCCATTCACCTTTTTCCAGCACGCTCCAGCCACGAATAGAGCTTGAAGACCTCAAAGTGGTCAGATCACGGGCATCGTGGTCATCCTCGAGCCTTTTCCTTTAAATGCTCGAACATATACTGTGGTTCGGATGCTACGTATTGCCCCCACCATCCGAAGAGGAATGGGGAAAGGAGCAACGCACTAACAGGTCCATGTCAGACTCTATGATAGTGTGCATACTTGGCTAATGCACGTTGGGTATGCAATTTAACTTGAACTTGAACTTGAGTTCTATTTTCCTGTAACTGGCCATAAGAGCTATGCAGCAGTACTGCTAGCTAAACTAGTGTGGGGTAGGTGGTAGGTAGTGCTATGCATGATCGAGTGGTAATATGCATGGATGCCACAGTCAGTCTATTCCTGTGACACATCTGAATCGGGTGCTACTGCAGTTTTGAACTCTGCCTCCCACTCGCGTAATGCAGCCACGAACCCGGGGTTGGGCCGTACGCACGCGCGCCGGCTCTTCACAAGCTCGTATGCGGCATTGTAGCTCATCGCGCGGTCGCGAATGAGATACGCAATCACGATGGACGCGCTGCACGAGACACCCTGCCCCAATAATAAATATCCGTCAGCGCCGCGCCAAACGCAGGGAATGGAGACGCTGCGTACCTGATGGCAGTGCACGAGCATTCTCCTGCCACCCTCGAGCGCAGCGCGGATGTAGTCGCACGCGGGGCCGAGGTGCGGGCGCAGCGCTGCGGAGGGGCTGTCCTCCATCTCGATGCGGTGGAATGCGAAGCCGTCCGTGTCCCACGGAATCTCGAGCACCTGCACGATGTGTGTGATGTGGTATGCGCGCAGGAGGTCGGGCTCGAGCATGGCGGCCATGGATCCGAGATAGAGCGCGCCTATGGGCATTTGCGATGTGGCGGCTTTGGGCGAGAGGATGCAGTGCATCAACATGCACATCGCCTCCATCTCGGCGGGGGGGATGCTCGCGAAGGAGGTTATCGTGTTGTTGGGTGGTGGTGGTTAGAATAAGAGTCGATGGCGCGACAGGCACAGCCTTGAGGAGTGTGAGTCCCTGTCAGTGTTATAATTCGACAAGAAACTGCACAGCTAGAGAGATATTTATCAGTCTCCGATAACGATAGTTTGCATTCAGTCGGCGTTGAGAGAGGGCAGCCAGAAGGTCAACTGGCCACGTTCGCCATGTCTGAGATAGCAAGACATTCGTGCAGTCACCCGATCCTGGTATCCAACAATCACTTCGACAGCTGCACAAAATCACGCTGCTGAATTAAGGGAACACATGCGCAGTATATTGCTCACCGATCACTGCATTTTGGAGCAACCTAACGTACGCCTGGGTTAAATGCTCCCGCGGAATTCAAGCACAAATGCATATCGTGTTAACGAATTGAATTTGGTCAAAAAGTTTGCCGAAGAATTCATGTTTGAAGCTGGTGAATCAAATCAAATTCAGGCGCATAAGCATAGATGTACAACAATTCATTCACTGCCATACCCCATTTTTAGTTACCGAGGCCCTGAAAACAGCAGAACAGAGGCGACGCACTCAGAGCCCCAACAACCTCCCAAAAAACCGCCCCTTGCCTTTCTCCTTCTCCTTCCCATTTCCATCCCCCGCCCGCGGCTCGACGTCGTACGCAAACCGTATACCCCCATACGAACATCAGGAAAATCTGAAATGCTCTGAGAGACACATAGGTGGCTATCATGGGCTATCTGGGGCTATGGCGAGCTATGGTGAGCTATATAACTGACCTGATTGGCTATATGACGCTATGGTGAGCTATGGTGAGCTATATAACTGACCTGATTGGCTATAGTGAGCTATGATGGTCTATAGAGCTGAACCAATTGACTATATGGTGCTATGGTCATCTATAAGATTTCACTAGTATAAATAGCAGAAAGTTAGGTAACACAATGGCAAGTAAACTTATGGCTGTCATGAATGGTTATCTGGACCAGATCTTCCTTGCTACCAGATGGAACCTTCTGGGAATTCATTTTATGGTTTGCAGCTGGACAAACCCCTTAGGCAAAATCTGTCATTTGACAACTTTTGTTGAGCATTTCGAGCTCTACAATTTTGGTTTGGGGTTTATTTTTAGCTACTCGCAAAAGTATGGCCTCGCCAGCCACTACCACTTCACATTATATGTAATAAGTTACCACAAAGTGAAGGCAAAAACAGAGGGAGGTGGTAGGTCAGTGCCGACCCTACTAATATGACTTTGATTCTACATATCTTAATGTCTCCTTAGCGTAGTGGTTATTTTGTCGATTCTCAAATTTTAGTTGTACGCGCGAGGTCCTGAGTTCAACTCCCCAAGGTGGTAGCATTTGAATATACTTACCCTCGCTTAATGTTAACAAGCGGCTGCTCGGCCGCTTCGCGGCCTCGCATTCCCTTCCATTGGGTGCAACATTCAACTGTGGAGTGGAGGTTGATGTTGAGAATTATATCAGCTTGAGAGTAAGTACCGAGAAGTCTGACCGTTGGTGCTCACCGTCCGACAAAAGGCACAGATAGAATCTGTTGCCAGTTCGCATGTCGAAGTTTATTTAAAGGCCGGTCTAAATGCGGCAGAGGATGGCACCGCAGAGTTAGAAGTTATTTGGTGAAACAATCAACGGTGCTGGCCCGGAGTGCCTGCGGACATAAATAAGTTGAGCGGAGTTTAAAAAGGCTTCGGAAAGATGGACAGACAACGTAATTCTATAAAGAAGGTGATACATACGTCATGAGAAGACGTGAGAATAAAGGGGTAATGTCGGATCGAAGCAAAGGTCAGATGAGCAGCAGAGTTTAAAAAGGCTTCAGACAGACAGAATGCTTAATTCTATAAAGAGGGTGATTAGATTTTCTGTAACCTTGACTTCACACCCCATTATACTAGTAATGCAACAAGAGAACAATACATTATGACCTTACAATCACAACATCCCAAATTTTTTTGGTGCTCTGACCGTGACCACTATCATAGAAAACACTGTGACTATGGTGAGCTATGGTGGGCTATGGTGGGCTATGAAGTTCAAGTCCAGGGTCCCACGTTTCTCTGAGGTTGGTCAGTTTGCTATATCAGCTATGGCCACTATATAGGGCTCTGGTGCGCTATATGGTGCTATGGGGCAACTTTGGATTTTTTTGATGAAGTCTCGATGCTGATCTCATCCCCCGCCCACGCACTCAGCTCGTTCCCCGCCTCGCCCAAGCTGCCGACGAAGCACCGGCGCGTGCTGTCTGCCTCGCCGATGGTGGTGAGGTCCGCGGTGAGTGCGTCCGAGAAGCGCACGGCGCCGTAGCGCGTGCGGACGGTGAGCGGGCCGCGGAAGGCGCACGGGAGGTGGATGGTGACCGCGCCGTGGACGGTCTGCGCGCAGAGGTGAATGGGCGGCCGTGCGGTGCCGGGGGCGTGCTATCAATTCAGCAAATTTAATTCAATATCATATTCTGCGTGGAGCAGTAAAAGATACGCACCAGTCGTGCGATAAGCGCCCCGTTGGTGGAGTTGAGCAAGACGTCGACACGGCACTTGACGTCGGGGGCGCCGGTGATGAAGAGGTCCCGTGGGTGGTGCGGAGGTACACGTTGCGGCGCGTTTCCTCGGTCTCCTCGGGCGCGAGGGGCGGAAGGAGGGAAGGCGGGACTTGGATGCGGGGGTCTATCACATAGGTGCCGTTGATGGGATTGTGGTCGCGGCTCAGCGACAAGAAGTTCGTGGGCTTGACGCTGGCGGGAAGTGGTGGGGATGCGATGGGTACTTTGTGCGGCAGGGAGGGCAGTGGTGAGTCCTCCCTTGCCTGCGAATCGATATATGTGGGTGGTGGATCATCCTGGGAAACAAGTCAACTTGAACTCGAGCCTCTGCGCGAGTAAGTGCGTACTGGGACGATGGCGCGGTTGACGACGATGTCGGCCTGCTCCACGTCTTTGAGATCTGGGGCTATGATCATCGTTCGGAGGACGTGTCGGGCATGAATTTTAATGAACTCTGAACTGCGGCTTTATAACCTCCAAGTACGCGCGCCGCAGCGCGAAGTTAGAGTCGTATCAGTGGTGCTGCGGATTAATAATAGCTAATCCATGAGCGCATTTGGGCGCTCCAAGGCCTGGGACGGTTTGCACGACACCCAGAGCCAGCGGTGAGTGCTTGGACTAGAAGAGTTGGTGAATCGATATCTCGCCCGGAGTGCAAGGAGTTAAAGCGGTGCACATCAGCCAACGGATCAGAGGGGCTGGTGACCTCGACAAGTCCCGCTACGCGACGCGCCAACGACGCGCAAGGCCTTCCAACTCAGGCTCAAAGGCTGGCCTGTCCCATGCAACCCTACCGCAAGCTCTCCGAGCTTGAAACCCCCTCCCCTGCCTTCGGAAACCTTGCCTTTTGGGAGCTGAAACCGCTCAAAATCGTCGAAGTCCCTGCTCGCCGCGTCTTGCTCTCGACCACAACCTCTTCCCTCCTCTTCCTCTGAGGCCATCTATCTCGTACACACATTCCTCCCTCTTCCCCAATGCCCCCCTCTCCGAGTCCTCCAAGCTCTCTTCAAGTCATCTTTCCGACTCGGACTACACGCCCTTGACATCGTCGCGCCGTGGGTCCACGCAGCACCTCCAGGAGTCCTCACGACGAGAACTTGTAAGTATCCTTTATATAACTTCCATCTCGCGTCATCCCCCCTCCCATACCTCCTCCCCCCCAAGTTTCTGCAAATCGCCAGGCTCGTCACCCTCCTGCGAGCTTTCCGCGATTCAATATATTACTGGCTACTCATGACGCCTCCACTCA